AGGGGGATAAAACACAAGAGAGTCTTAAGTATGGAGAACAAACAGAGGGTTACTGGAAGGGAGATGGGCTAAATGGGTAAGAAGCATTAAGGTATCTACTCCTGAAATCATTGTTGCACTATATGCTAACTAACTTGGATGTAAATTGAAAAAAAGAAAAAAAGAGTGTTGAACCCATAAAAATCCTAATAGATCATTCTGAACCCCTGCCTAAATTGTCTCAATATCTACTAAGACCAGAATCTACTGAAGGGCTCTCACTAACTGTAGAAGACTTAATTAAGCAAAGACTCAGAACCCCATGCAGTAGTCCCTGTAATGCTCCGATCTTACCCATTAAAAGACCAAATGGACAAGGTTGGAGATGTGTTCAGGATCTGTGTGCAATCAATAAAACTGTGATACTAACATTCCCTGTGTTCCAAACCTCAACACCTTGTTATCTAATGTAACTACAGAGTCAAAGTGGTTCACAGTGGTAGATCTTTGCTGTGCTTTCTTTAGTATCCCAGTTGACAGTGAGAAGCAATATTACTTATCTTCATTTGGAAAAATCAACAATATACCTGGACTATAATGCCATAGGGTTCGCTGAAGCCCCATCCTATTTTTCATAGGTTTTAACATCAAGACCTTACATCCCTAAGAATGCTACACTCATCAGTATGTAGATGCCTTACTGCTGTGTTCCCTTACAAGGGAAGACTCAGAAACAGGTTCACTTTATTATAGCAATTAGCTTGTAAAGCACATAGGCTTCTAAGGAAAAACTCCAATTCACAAAAAAGAAGGTCCACTATCTAGGACATGATTTGAATGCAGAAGGTATTTCCCTCTCACCTGAAAGAGTAAAGACCACGCCAAACTTCCCCAGAACCACAACTAATGACAATTTCTTGGACTTGCAGGATATTGTAGATCTTGGGTTCCACATTTTTCTGATTGCATCTCCTCTGTATGAGCTTACAACAAACTCGATTCCCAAGCCCTTCTCCTAGGAAGAGAATCATGAAATAGGCCTTCAGCCAACTAAAATTAACCCTGCCAACAAACTCTAGCCCAGGGCTCCCAAATTATACTAAGCCTTTCACCTTATCTGTCCACGGGAGTGATAACCAGGCTTTAGGAGTTCTAACCCAAGAGCATGGAGGAAAACACAGACCTACTGAGCACAGCTTACAGTCAGACCTGGCAGGCGGAGCATGTCCAGACTGTTGGAAAGTGGGAGCCACAGTGACTAAGCCTCAGCTGAACTGGTATTTGGAGAGGACTTAACGCTACAAGTACCTCATGCTGCTCAGAATCTGTTACCCCCTGATTAGACTCAACACTTTCAGCAAGAAGATGAGCATCTTGTGAGAGGCTTCACCTTCTACCTTCTAACCTCTGTCTTACGTGCTTTGACTCACTCAACCCTGCTGCCCTGGCCTGACGATGGTACAGAACCCCATAAATGTGTACATGTGGTATCACGGTTACTGACCCCTTCACGTGACTTATAGGACAATTCATTAGAAAGCCCAGATTTGATACTTCATCAATGGGTCCTATGCTAAGAATGCAGAAGGGAGGTATCAAGCAGGATATGCTGTAATAACTATGAACTACCCCAAAGGGTATCTTGCCCATTTTAAGTCTGTGCAACCAGCAGAGCTACATGCCCTTACTCAGGCTTGTTGGCCACCCAACGGAATGTCAGTAAACACTTATACCCATAGCACATGTCTTTGGGGTGGTCTCTGACCTTGCTACGTTATGGAAACAGACAGAGTTCCTCACTTCTAGCAGAATCCTAATCAAAACTGGACTCTGAGTAAATGAACTGCTGTCTGCCATTCTAGTGCCCAACTGAACTGGAATTATTAAAAATGAAGTTTGCACTAGAAAACAGAACCCAAGTATCAGGGAAATGGTCTAGCAGACTTCCATGCTAAATCTGCCAGCACTAAAACTCTTCTAATATACAACCTGAAAGAAGTCTGGAAGACGAACTCTAACCAAATTATTTATGATAATCTATATAAAAGACAAAATCGGGCACCTGAACTAGAACAACAAATGTTGAGACCAAGGGTACAAATTTAATGTTAGATGAGGACACACCGAGGGCCACCAGATGGCCTCCTGGTTCTTCCTGAGCCCTTAAAATTGCCATTACTAGAAGCTCTGTATTCTGCAAATCACCATAGCACAGAAAAAAATGACCCAAATTATGAAAAAGAATTGGTGGATGACTGCTCCAAAGTCGCAAAAGTGGTTTATGAGCAAATGTCTAATTGATCAAACCCCTAACCCTGGAAAGACCATTAAGATGGTTCATTTGATGGAGCATTTCCACCACCTACTGGGCCATTTGAACATTTACAAATAGATTTCACTCAATTGCTCCTACAATGGATTATTGATATGTCCTTGTAATTATTTGTATTTTCTCAGGATGGACTGAAGCCTTCTCACGCAGAAAGGCTGATGCCACAACCATGGCTAAGAAACTTTTAGAAAATATATTTTCTTTAGAGGGTATCCACCAGAGAGATCTCCAGTGATTGGGAACTCATTTCTCTGGGGAAATAATTAAACAAATAAGGCGTTGCTTTTAAACAGTGGCATTAGTATCATCCTTACCGTCCTCAGTCATCTGAAGTTGAATGAACAAATGGTATCTTAAACCTGAAGCTAGCTAAATTAACAGAATCAACTGGACTGCCCTGGCCAAAAGGTCTACCATTGGTTTTGATGGCAGTTAGATTGGCACTCACGGGAAAGCACAAATTAACATCTCATGCAGCAGTAACAGGAAGACCTAGGCTTTTGATGATAGAACCACATGTCTACCGTACTCATAAATTCTGATGTGACTCAGTATTGCCAGGCTTTTATGCATTATGCCGAAGCGTACTGCCACCAGGAAAAGGAAGCTTTCCATGATGCTCCTATAGCTGGCTTAACCCTCCACAACTTAGGACATGGAGAGCAGGTCTTCTGGAAATGACACCTAAGAAAGACTGCCCAGGAACCTCACTGGAAGGGACCACACCAGGTTCTCCTCACCACCCAGATGGCAGCCCAACTTCAGGGATTTGAACCCTGGGGCCACAGCACCCAGTTGAAAGGGCTCCTCCAGGCTCCGGCACCGTATACCAGCCAGAGATGTGAAGTTAAAACTGGCCACAGACGTTCCTCCTCAGAAGCATTCAACAGCTTGGGGTGAGCAGCTCTCCCAAAATCACCGATCTGGATATTCATCTCCTACAAGAAACCTTTATTCCTTTGCCTATTTGTGATCTGCCTTTTCTGTCCCTTAATGCAGGGGAAGACAGGATTTCACAAACAACAGCTACCGCAGGAAACTAAACCACTAAACCAACAGCCGGATTTGTCATGCTGAACCAAACTCAAGATGTGAAGGGAATCCTGAAGGCCACTGTATGCTGCCACTGTCCTGCAGGTCCCTTTAACAAAGTTCAAACACCAGATCTACGTATCCTTGTTTCTTGTCTCAATTTAATCCAATCCTGGAATGGGAAAAGCAAAATCCACCGAATGCACATCTGAAAGACGCTGCAGAGCAGCCAGTGTCAATCAGACCATTTGTAGGCTTGCTATTGGGCCCATACATTTGGCTGGTCTTTCAATGTGTGGTAATACAGTATTGGAGTCTTGGATGAATGATGCACCTCTATATGGAGCAATGGGTCCATGAATGCTAATACTTGAGGGAGCCCTACGTGGACCTCCTAGCTACACCTTTACACGTGGAGCTTTGGGCAGTGGCCTCCATGCTTGGGCAGCTTGCTGTCTGGAGGGTGTAAGGACAATGCACCCTTGCTCTAAGTACTGTCCCACTGTCCCTTCATGATACTACCTCAGAAACTCCACATTGTCCCACTCCCCTGAAAGAGAAGTTTTACTAGCAGCTGTTAACCCCTCTGGATGCGCATCATTTGGAAGGTCCCCTCTTCCTTGGCTTGGAGTTATTACAAACAAACGTACAATTAGAAACTTACCCTTAACTCCGGCAACCACTGCTGAGTCTACCGCTAACGCCATGGCTGCACCACAAAAGTCCCCAGGGGCTCTCTTGCTGAGATGGTTTTAGATAATAGAATTGCTTTAGATTACTTGTTGGGGGAGTCTGTGCCACGGCAAATAGTTCCTGCTGTACCTAGATCAACACCTCTGGTTTTGTAGAAACTCCAGTACAAGACATTAACAAACATGCTCCTTGGCTTATACAGGTTGATTCTGGTACATTCTTTGATTTATTTGATAGCAACCGGTTTGGTTCATGGGGGCCATGGCTAGGAGTATACTTCAGTCGCTTGGTATTATCCTCCTAATAGTATCACGGTCAGTCTGGTGTGCTGTGTTCTCTCAAAGGTCTTACAGGCGTGCTTGCAGCCATCAGCACAGCAGATGGTTTCAGTGTGCTTGGAGAAAAAGAAACAAGCTGAACAATGGGGAAAAAAGCAAAAGCAATTCTTCCATGGATCTGACAACATAACCTGGGAGTTTCACAGTGAGGCAAGAGCAATTTAACTCTGATGGTGAAAGAGGGTGGCGCTAATACCAAATTTTGGGGCAATCTTCTCACATATGACAGGATAACCAAAAGGGGGGATTGTTAAATTAATTAAAAAGGAGGCCATCAGACTGAGGTGGCTCTAATGCCATAGCACCTGCATAAGCAAACCAATGTAAGCCTGTAAATACCTTAAGGTTACAAGAGTGAACTTAAGGACAACCAATCACAAACAGCCAAAGAAAGAGGTTTTAAGCTGCAGCCAATCGAGAATTTCCTTTGGCCTTTTCTCTAGAACAGTTTTTCCCCAGCCCCCGTAGACAGTGCTTCTAACCACTTCTGCTTTGACGCTGCCTGATTTGTTTTTTGCTCAAATAAATTCCTAAAATTTTTGTATGGCTCACTTTATCCATTAACACATGATAATTACTAAGGTAGTTTTCACAGTGCTTATCAAAAGCAGCAGACAGACAGCAAACACTGCCAACTTCGGGCTTTAATATGCAAACTTTCCTGAAGAGCCTGGATCTACAGCTGTGGGCGTTGTGGGTTTGAGGAAGCAGGCGACACACTTATGGAGGGAAACAGATAAGCAGAGCGCCATTATTTTGATTTATTGCATTCTGAAGTACCATGGGGGAGGGCCTGAGAACAAGTCCGCTTCATCAGCAGTTCTAAAGCCTTATTACCTGAGATTTGCATTCTGGAGGAAAAAAAAATCAAGACTCAATTTTCAATACGTATGTCACACGAGATTTGGATTTTGGCCCTGATAGAAGAATGTGTACTAACCTGATAAAGGCTATGTGAGATTAAAGAGAGACACCAGCTAAACACCGAATCCCGGTGAAAAACGTGGATTTAACCAGAAAGCCACATACTTTAGCAAAACACCTCCTCTTGGGGGTGGTCAGAGACACTTGATGTGTGCAGGCTGCTGGAGGCAGCTTTGTCCCAGGGCTCGCCGCCAGCCTCAGCATTCCCAGGAGGGCCCAGTCCTTGGGTCACATTTCTCTGCCCCTCTGCTCCCTTTCACTTCTCATCATCCCGCCCATAGTTAATCGTTTGTAAGGCCTGAGCTATGAGCGTCGCCATTTCTCGGGTGCCCGCAGCCACCACTCTGCAAGACATGAGGTCGAGAGGTCCACCTGAGGACAGAGAGAGGAGACAGGGTGCCTAAGTTACTGGAAAGGGCAGAACAGTCCCAAATGGCAACTGAGCACACGCACATTCCAAGGAAAACCAAGGTCCAGGCTGGGCTGGAGGCAGGACCATACAGGGACGTCTAGACGTGAGCCTGGCCAAAGCAAGGGTGCAGCCTCTCAGCATCCACTCTGCTGCCCCAGGAAGGGAGCACTGGAGGCTGTGCTGGGGGAATGGGGGTTAAGGTCCAGCCATCAGGACTGAGGTTCACATGATCGGTTCAACCACCACAGCGGAGAGCAATTCTCAAATGTCTGCTGTACGGGTGGCACCGGGGACCCCATGTGATGGATGGAAGTCCTAACTCAACAGGTCTGGGTGGGGCCTGTCTAGGCAGTGACCTGATGCAGGCTGGCTAACAAGTCGTGACTAAAAAGCTAGAGAAAGGGATCTAAAAGGATTCACCCGGTCTCAAACTGCTTACTCCTAAATACTAGATCAAGGGTCTGCCTGAAGCTAAGAGGAGTTATGGGGGCAGACATATTAGGGGACTCACCCCCAGGGGGTCAGTCACTGGGACACGATGACCTTGAAGTAGAAGGAACAAGTCACCTTTTTGAGTCTGTTCTCCTAAAAAGCTCACAGTGTGCTCATGCTCTACACCATGCTGACCCCGTGCGGAGCTACACGGTGTGTGTGCGGGGGGGGTGCTAGCCTCCTCTTCATAGAATGGGGAGTACGATGCTTATTCTGCCTATCTCGTCGGATTTGGTGGGGTCAGAATGTGTGCTAGAAAACCGTCAAATGTTATGTATGTGTATAGTGGTCGCGTGTTCCTATCTGGCCGTATCCTGATCCTGGGGTCTCTTTTCATGCCTAGAGGCAGAGAGTAGGAAGGCAGGAAAGCTGAGAAGGCACTAGCCCACTGTTCTTCCAACATCTTCACATGGTGTCTCATCAGTAGACTCTGAGGAAGTAGAGGGGACATTTGGTCTGGTGGTGGTACTTGGTCCAGTCTGGGGGACGTTGGGTCTGGCGGCACCCGGTCCAGTCTG